GGCTTCATGTCCAGATTTGCCATACGTTTTATCAGATTTCACAGATATTGCGACTTTGCCCTTCGCCAAGGACGATAGAGTAAAAGATGAGGCAATGCCAATAATTACACGAGTTACCCTTGCCTACCTCGAGGCGAAGGCAACCGCGCGGCGATGCCATCCTGATCACCTTACAAGAATTTGTAAAAAAAAAAAAATCCCGTATGAATCATAATCCTTGTTCAGATGGCGAACAAAGGAAATGTGTCATCGACCACTACATGATTATCCCGAGAAGGAAACCGAGCGCCTTTGACTGGCTATAAATATTCAAGTAAACCGTGAATGGCAGGCTGGTTGCAAACAGAATAACAGAAACATTCGTACGTACATAAGACACGAGCGAATTCGTTGCTGCAGATGGCAACATTTTCTGCAGGATTGGTCATCCACACCGTTGCCATTCTTAGGTTTTAGGATGAAATTCGGAATTTGGGATATTTAGTGCAAAGGACAGAATCGTATTGTGTACTAACCCTGGGTACGTTTAACTGTGAAAGTGAAAGTGCAGCCGTTGTTACCATGCTTTCACCACCAGGGTATAATCCAGTTGATAATGATAAATGATGAACAAATATATAGACAAAGAAAATACAAAATACATTTAGCGCCACAGGAAGCACAAACTTCGGAAGCGGTACGTGAAATAACCCCTTCATGGCCCTGGGAACGGCTGCGTGATGTGTTGTAATAAAGTGCTATCAAGGACATGGCTAATATCGGAAAGCACATTAGTCTCTGTTGCTTAATCAAATGCCTTTTGCGAGTATTTTTTTCGCGTTCCCAGAGATGCATTTTGTGACCCGCTTATCGTCGACACTGAGAGTAATAATAGAATTATTATTATAGTAATGATGATGATGAATAAAATAACAATTGAATAATGACAATAACAATGATAATGATAAGGATTACAGTTTAGAAATGAAAATAAAAATATCATTGAGACTAATTTCAACAACAATAAAAGTGATAACAGAATGATCACATCACTGATAATGGTAATACTGATAATACAATACTGATAAATGTAATGATAATCATTATTCCCTTTAATACTATTACTATTGTTACTGTCATTATTGTTATCAGTTCTCTTCAGGACAATGAACAAACCAGCCTATGATGCAAATTCATAAGGCACAATATCCACTACAACAGGCTTTCACTTAGCAGTCGTCTACAGACATTTGATAATGATTTCTAAAAGAGTGTGGCAACCGGGTCAGTCATTCTACACTTTCTCCTTTGTTGCAGGATCGAACTTTTCCTAAGATTGCAGTTGCATTCATTGCGATCATTCATTCCCTTCCAGGCTTTAGGGGGACACACACCTTCCTTCAGACCTGCTAGGCAAATCATATAAATGTTGCATAATGAATACTTAGTACTGGAAGTGTTGCACGGTTATACCACACCGAGTCTATGCAAGGATTCTCTGGGTGACAAAGTTTTCCTTAAGGTCGACAAGCCATAGGAAATATCATAGGTTTTAGGTTCCTATGATTCTGGTTTACTATGATATTCACCTATTTTCGTTGTTGGGTATAAAAGATAATTATATTTACTTAGATCATTATTTTTACTTCGTGGTATGCGATATAATGTTATTTTGGCAGGGAAAGATATATTTGCAGTTTGTTTCCGTTTCTAAATATGAAATAGAACAATGTTATCTTTGAGTATACAACTGTAAACAATGTATAATTTTCATTGCCCTCGTCCAGTTATAACCGTAAATAATGAAGTGACTAAATAGATAAAAATGAAAATAAAAACAGGGATAGTGGCCAAGGCTACAGGTACATAATTGCGATTTCATTAAAAAAAAAAGACCAGAATAGCGGACAGCGTGTTCTGTACGCGGAAATAAAAGTTCTGATTTAAGTGAACGAAAGGAAAAGACAGACAAGACAGACAGACAAGTAAATAGAGAGATAATACGTAAAAGCAATTCCGGGAAAAGACAGACAGACAGACAAGTAAATAAAGAGATAAAACGTAAAAGTAATTCCGGGAAAAGACAGACAGACAGACAAGTAAATAGAGAGATAAAACGTAAAAGTAATTCCGGGCAATAAATTCCGTCATACTTGCCAATAACAGATACAGCAAAAATCACAGACGAAAAAATAAAAAATAAAAAACAAAGATAATTAACAACGCCACGAGATTCCGTTGCCAACCGAAAAGGCAAAAGCAAAAAAATTAAATGCCAGGAAGCAAGTGGACGGTGACGCGCGCTCGTTGTCACGCTAATGGGGGTGGGGGGGTGGGGGGGAGCGAGGAGGGGCGAGGGGGGGCGGTGTGAGCGGAAGAGACCAGGCAATCGCGTTTGATATATGGTCAATTTTTGTTTGCTTTATCTACGGAGTGACTTTATATTTGCTTGTCACCTTATGTATTGGATATATATGTATATGTATATATATACAAATAATATATATATATAATATATATA